AGACACTCCCCCTCAGTGAAGACACTCCCCCTCAGTGAAGACACGCCCCCTCAGTGAAGACACGCCCCCCTCAGTGAAGACACTCCCCCTCAATGAAGACACTCCCCCTCAGTGAAGACACGCCCCCTCAGTGAAGACACGCCCCCTCAGTGAAGACACTCCCCCTCAGTGAATACACGCCCCCTCAGTGAAGACACGCCCCCCTCAGTGAAGACACTCCCCCTCAGTGAAGACACTCCCCCTCAGTGAGGACACTCCCCCTCAGTGAAGACACTCCCCCTCAGTGAGGACACGCCCCCTCAGTGAAGACACTCCCCCTCAGTGAAGACACTCCCCCTCAGTGAGGACACTCCCCCTCAGTGAAGACACACCCCTTCAGTGAAGACACGCCCCCTCAGCGAAGACACTCCCCCTCAGTGAGGACACCCCCCCTCAGTGAAGACACGCCCCCCTCAGTGAAGACACTCCCCCTCAGTGAAGACACTCCCCCTCAGTGAAGACACTCCCCCTCAGTGAAGACACTCCCCCTCAGTGAAGACACTCCCCCTCAGTGAAGACACGCCCCCCTCAGTGAAGACACTCCCCCTCAGTGAAGACACTCCCCCCTCAGTGAGGACACGCCCCCTCAGTGAAGACACTCCCCTCAGTGAAGACACTCCCCCTCAGTGAAGACACGCCCCCTCAGTGAGGACACGCCCCCTCAGTGAAGACACGCCCCCTCAGTGAAGACACGCCCCCTCAGTGAAGACGCCCCTCAGTGAGGACACGCCCCCTCAGTGAAGACACGCCCCCCTCAGTGAGGACACTCCCCCTCAGTGAGGACACGCCCCCCTCAGTGAAGACACGCCCCCTCAGTTTAGACACGCCCCCTCAGTGAGGACACGCCCCCCTCAGTGAGGACACTCCCCCTCAGTGAGGACACGCCCCCTCAGTGAAGACACTCCCCCTCAGTGAAGACACTCCACCTCAGTGAAGACACGCCCCCTCAGTGAGGACACGCCCCCCTCAGTGAGGACACTCCCCCTCAGTGAGGACACTCCCCCTCAGTGAAGACACTCCCCCTCAGTGAAGACACTCCCCCTCAGTGAGGACACGCCCCCTCAGTGAAGACACGCCCCCTCAGTGAAGACACGCCCCCTCAGTGAAGACACGCCCCCTCAGTGAAGACGCCCCTCAGTGAGGACACGCCCCCTCAGTGAAGACACGCCCCCCTCAGTGAGGACACTCCCCCTCAGTGAGGACACTCCCCCTCAGTGAGGACACTCCCCCTCAGTGAGGACACGCCCCCTCAGTGAGGACACGCCCCCTCAGTGAGGACACTCCCCCTCAGTGAGGACACTCCCCCTCAGTGAAGACACTCCCCCTCAGTGAAGACACGCCCCCTCAGTGAAGACACGCCCCCTCAGTGAAGACACTCCCCCTCAGTGAAGACACGCCCCCTCAGTGAAGACACTCCCCCTCAGTGAGGACACGCCCCCTCAGTGAAGACACGCCCCCTCAGTGAAGACACGCCCTCTCAGTGAAGACACGCCCCCTCAGTGAAGACACGCCCCCTCAGTGAAGACGCCCCTCAGTGAGGACACGCCCCCTCAGTGAAGACACGCCCCCCTCAGTGAGGACACTCCCCCTCAGTGAGGACACTCCCCCTCAGTGAGGACACTCCCCCTCAGGGAGGACACGCCTCTGAGTGAGGCAGCCATCACATCTGCCTCACTCAGGGGGCGTGTCTTGAGGCCACGTCTTTGACGCTCGCTCTCCCTCCACGTTGGCGAGCTCTCGCAAAAAATGTCCAGCGGCTGCAAAAATTTAAAAGGTTTAATATCTAACCCTTAAAAACTTCTAACAACTGGACTTTCAATCAGTGGAGTGGCACCCACGAAACGACTACTGCTGCTGTGTGTGTGTGGCTGTGTGTGTGTGGCTGTGTGTGTGTGTGGCTGTGTGTGTGTGTGGCTGTGTGTGTGTGTGGCTGTGTGTGTGTGTGGCTGTGTGTGTGTGGCTGTGTGTGTGTGTGGCTGTGCTACGAAGCAAATCACCTCTGCTGCTTCCCCCGGCGTCTGTTCTCCACTGCCGGCGACGTTGGGACTCACGCGGGGTTCTGTGACTCGAAACATCAAAAAAATTAACCCGTAAAAACAAAGTTTTGCACTATAAATCCTTTATATGCGTGTTCAATGGGCCACAACCCAGCCCACATTGGTCTTTGAAACGGGCAGCTAGAGTCCTCTCGTCCTCTGGCTTGAGATGGCTGCCACCTATGGGTTTTTATACGTGACTTTACCGAAAGAACCAAAGAGTAATTCCTGCAGTCACGAAAGCTCCAAATTAAGATTGAACCATTTCTACGGGGAAGTTTTAAGTTTATTTTTTTTCTCTCTCTCTGGGTTTTTTGTTTTCTCTCTCTGCCTGTGTCCTCTCTTTGGAATTTTCACACTTAAATTCTAACTTAGCAATCTTTGAAATACGTAATCGACCAGGCTATGCGTTAATTGTGTTGACCGACTCTCTGTGTTGCATTACATTGCGATATTTTGCTAGGTTATTTAACTTTAGTGTGTCTTTCTCTCTTTCTCCTAATTTTCAAGCTTGTGTACCGTACCACACGTCGCCCTACTCATTGACATGCTAATTTTTCCTCTGCCCCCCCCCCCCCTCTCTATTTAAGGCCCCGTCACAGAGACGATCTCTCTCTCTGTGCCGATGCGCGTCCTCTCTCTGTGTATCTTTGTGATATCTGTCTGCTTATGTGTCTGTCTATTGTTTTCTGGTTAGATTTTTTTTGCTATTTCTTTCTTTTATACCTGATGATGATTGCTTGTGTTGCAGTCGAAACGTCGTAGTATGCTATTATTTAATTTATTATTTTATCTTTATACGTGACTTTACCGAAAGAACCAAAGAGTAATTCCTGCAGTCACGAAAGCTCCAAATTAAGATTAATTAAATACCATTAAGCCCCATTTTGTTATGCTATTGGAGAATACTGTTAAACGCTGGGGATGTTAACACTGGGTAGAGTAAAATAGTGCCTGTCAGATAAGATGGTCCAAAATGTGTAGTTAAATCTTTTTTGCATGGTTGATAACATCTTTCCAATGATTGCTAAGTTTGTACCCATCATCACGGTTGAAATTATGTCTGTGCTTGTATATCTGAATGGCTTCATGTACAAACCTTTGATGGTAGCCAAAGGGTTTGCAGAGCACCTTAGTCTGGCACACGAGGGCACTTTCAACGAACCCGATGCACTCTGTTGTCGTGCGCTGCAGAACAAAGTAGTGGACACTGGATTCTGCTGTGCGCCAATCCGCGACACGATGGGAGTTGTGGAACGCCGGAGACAAGAGTTTGATGGCTTCTGTGATCGATTCGAGAAGAAATGCGTCACACGTGGCCAGACTGCCCGGAGTCAACAGCCGATCAGAGACGAGAGGAACAGAATGTGTTATAGCATTCTGGGCAGTATCAGCGTTCAAATGAAAGCGAGGTTTGATCAATTTCGATTTAAAGCTTTCGTGACTGCAGGGATTAATCTTCTTGGTTCTTTCGGTAAAGTCACGTAGAAGGGAAATAATAAAATAAGAAAAATAAAACATTATTTTATTATTTCCCTTCTACGTGACTTTACCGAAAGAACCAAGAAGATGAGGTTTGATCACTTCGGGGAGCTAACTTTCCTTGGTTTGGGTGATTGCACGAAATCTCATGAAATGTCGCGACATTTCGATGACACCGAGCCACAGAGCCTATCAACATACGCAGGGCATAGTTATAGGTTTTTACCCTTTAAACTGGTACAAAAACTGACACCTTTATATAAGGCATCATGCTTGCAATAATCACAACACAAGCAGTCAAAATGCAAACAAAAAGAAACAACTCTGATGATGATAATAATATGCACTGTCCTTTTGGCGTCATCTGGTCCAACACCAATGGAGACTGGGCTCTAAGGAAAGCTGTCTCGGGTGTGGACCAATCAACTTCAAGGACAGTGCATATTATTATCATCAGAGATGTTTCTTTTTGACAAGGTTACTCCAGCTGATGATGCTCACTGTGACAGCTACAACAGCGTCCGCTGAAAGGTCGTGGTTCTCCGCTTTGAAACGACTCAAAACCTACAGTCCAAATCGGACTGACCAAGGGCGACTTTCATCCCTGGCAATCATCTCCATTGAGACGGAGAGACTTTTACAACTCAGAGGACTTCTACAACAAAGTCACGGACATATTTGTCCAGGAGTGGCGAATGGACTTCATTTACAAGTCAAGGTCAGGCCATGCAATAGTTATTTACATTTGTGTTGAATGAGTATGAATAGTGGAACTGCATTCGCCTATAAAACGTGAATCGAATACGTAACTCACCTGTGTGTTGTAAAGAATGCTGAAATATGAAACATGTGCCAATTGGATGGTGAATGAAAGCTGCCTCTATCGGGTTCACGAGTGTGAATCTGGCTCCGATACGAGCCAGTGCCTCCCCAACCATTCACCTCACCGCATGTCACTGACTTTCATCAGCTAGCCGAGACCAGGCCACCATGGGTTTGATTGGGGTCCTGGGTGGAATAACGGCAGGCGCATCTTACAGATGACAAGTCGATGGTGAGTGGGCAGATCAGCTCCACGATAGGTCCTGGTGTCAAGGACTTGGGCCCACATCCGCTGGTCCGTCATTATGTAGTCCAGCAGATGTTCTTGCTTGGACCCGGCGTGCATCCATGATGTTGTGTGGATGCACCGATGCCGGAACAGCATGTTGGTAATTACAAGCCCATGGGCTGCACAGAAGTCTAACAGCCTCCTACCGTTGTTATTGAGCTGATCTGGCTCATGCCTTCCAATCACTCACCAACTCACCCACATGCTCACCCACACGCTCACCCACTCGCTCACTCACACACTCACTCGCTCACTCACACACTCACTCACACACTCACCCACACACCCACACACTCACCCACACACCCACACACTCACTCACCCACTCACTCACCCACACGCTCACAACACTCAAGTGGTTTGTCATCGCGTGTAAATTTATAGCAGCAGCCAAGATCCACGCGACCACCGCGGGGGAGAGATACAGACACACGCGGAGCCCAAATATAAATATACAGCAGTGGCAGCAGCAGCAGCGGCAGCGGCAGCAACAGCAGCAACAGCAGCGGCAGCAACAGCAGCAACAGTAGCAGGCGTCATAGCGGTCGTGACCGGCCCCGCGACCTCCGGCGTCGCAGGCGAGGCAGATGGACATCTCCTCGCCACTCGCCACCAAACGGGACACCAATTCCTGCCATCACGGCTCCGTGAGCCCTCAGCGTGACGTCATCTTGAGCCCAATCGGGCGTCGGCATTCGCGTCCCCCCCCCCCCCCCCCCCCCGCAGCGCCCGTCATGATTCGGCCAATAGCAGCACCAGTCATGATTTGGCCAATCGCGGCGCCCGTCATGATTCGGCCAATCGAGGCGCCCGTCATGATTCGGCCAATCGCAGCGCCCGTCACGATTCGGCCAATCACGGCGCCCGTCATGATTCGGCCAATAGCAGCACCAGTCATGATTCGGCCAATAGCAGCACCAGTCATGATTCGGCCAATCGCGGCGCCCGTCACGATTCGGCCAATCGCGGCGCCCGCGCACCGACAACAACCAATCGCGGCGCTCGCTCACTTAAACGAATGTCCAATCGCGAGTCTTGCTCGCTAAAGTCATCATCCAATCGCGTTGCGGCGCGTTGCACCTCGACCAATCGCATCTTTGGACTCGCCGACCCAACCGGGTATTCGGCACTCACTCTCGTCCCGTCCGGTCCGGTTTGATCCGGTTTAGTCCGGTCCAGTCCGGTCCGGTCCAGCTTCCTGACCACTCTCCCCACTGTGACCCCCCCCCCCAGAGGCACCTCCCCTCCCACGGATCGACCAATCACATCGCTGCTCCTGCTGCCGCCCCTCCGTGCTGCGTCAGTCGTCCCTGGAGGGCTCCCGGAGGTCCTCGTCGTCCGTGTAGTCCGCAGGCTCCTCACCCGGCCGCAGCAGACGCCCCACGTAGCGATACTTCTCTGTGGGGGCACGGGGGGGGGGGGGGTGAGTCTCTGTGGTGGTGAGTCTCTGTGTGAGTGAGTCTCTGTGTGAGTGAGTCTCTGTGTGAGTCTCTCTGTGTGAGTCTCTGTGTGAGTGAGTCTCTGTGGTGAGTCTCTGTGTGAGTGAGTCTCTGTGTGAGTCTCTGTGTGAGTGAGTCTCCGAGTGAGTGAGTCTCTGTGTCAGCGAGTCTCCGAGTGAGTCTCTGCATGGGTGAGTCTGTGAGTGAGTCTGATTGAGTGAGTATCTCAGTGAGTCTCTGAGACTCTGTGTGTGCGAGTCTCTGCGTGAGTGAGCCTCTGTATGAGTGAGTCTCTGCGTGGGTGAGCCTGTGAGTGAGTCTCCGAGTCTGTGAGTGAGTCTCTGATTGAGTCTCTGTGGTGGTGAGTCTCTGTGTGAGTGAGTCTCTGTGTGAGTGAGTCTCTGTGTGAGTGAGTCTCTGAGTCTGTGAGTGAGTCTCTGATTGAGTCTCTGTCTGAGTGAGTCTCCCACCCATGAACTGCATCTCCCACTCCCGCACGCTCTCCGTCTGCACGGCCGTCAGGTCTGACAGGTCGTCGTAGGTGTCCCGCAGCGCGTCCCGGTCCAGCCGGAAGGACGCGAGACCACGGGACGCGTCACGGCCCGCAAACACTCCGTAGGGGCCGTCTTGGGGGGGGGCGGGGGAGGGAGGGAGAGGAGGGGGAGAGAGAGGGAGGGAGGGGGAGAGAGAGGGAGGGAGGGGGAGAGGGAGGGAGGGGAGGAGAGAGAGAGGGAGGAACGGGGAGGGAGGGGGGAGGGGGGAGGGAGGGGGAGGTGGGAGGGAGGGGGAGGGGTGACCCTGCATCCGAGGCAGTCGACCTGCAGTAGGCCCAAGGCTGCATCTGGCTGGAGGCTGTGACGGTGACGGGCGCCACTCACAGTGCGCTAACCACTGCACCACCCCTCCCCACTCACAGTGCACTAACCGCTGCACCACCGCTCCCCACTCAGTGCGCTAACCACTGCACCACGCACACACACCATGCACACCGCACTCACTCACACACACCACTAAGTGGCGGTGACGTCACCACGATGCTTGTGCCAGGCCATGTGCACCTTGAGGCCATGTGAAGTGTCGAACGCCCGCTGGCAGGTCACGGGGCAGACCCAGGTGCCACAGTTCGACTGACTGAGATGACCGAGATGACTGGCTGAGGCACCACCTGTGCCCCCTACTGTGCCAACTTGCTGTGCTTTAGCCACCCGGCGCTCCGCTCGGTGTTGTGAGCATCGCTCATCCGCCCTCCGTTGTTGTTGGAGGGCGACTGCCTCCAACTGCCCAGTAGAAGCGTCCTTCACGAGCCTCCTCCACTGAGGCCGATCTTGATACCGCTGGTACCGGTCATCGGCAAGTCCACTCAGCTCCACGTCCTCCTGTACCACATCACTCCATCTCTTCTCTAGCCCATGCCGCGCCCGTTTAGTCCCCTCGATCAGGCCGAACACAAGCTGTTTAGGCATGCGGTGGCTGGGCATGCGGGCTACATGACCCAGCCAATGCAGCCTTGCCTGCCGGAGGAGTTCAACGATGGGACTTTGTCCAGATCTTTCGAGGATTTGTGAGCTCCTCACACAATCCAGCCTGGTTAAACCCAGGATGGATCGTAGGCAGGCCAGCCTGAATGTTTCTAACCAGCGAATATGTTCCATTAGGGGGGTCCACGTTTTGCAAGTGTAGAGAAGGGAGGAATGACTGTGGCCGAGAAGACCTGAAGCTTCGTGCGGAGCAACAAACCAGGTAGCTTCCACACAGCGTTGCACAACCGATGAAAAGATATTGCCGCTCGACTGATTCGGAGTGAGACCTCTGCTGTTAAACCGGAGCCGGTCATGAGCACACTGCCTAGGTATGGAAACTCTCCACAACTGCCCCATCACCATTGGGAGTTGTGGGGTTGGAGTGTCCGATGGTACAAAATACCCAGGCAGGTGCTTCGTTTTAGTGGGGCTGATGGTAAGGCCCCACCTCTTAGTGGTACACTGCAGTTTCAGCAGCAGTGCCTCCAACTCCCCCTCTGAATGAGCAGCAATTACCAGATCGGCATACATAACGTGGTTGACCAATAGGGAGCCATCCCTTGATCGCACCCGGGCATCGATCAGCCTCCCATTGTATCTGTACCAGATGGAAATTCCTCCGGTACAGCTACTGAAGGCTTTACGAACTACGTGGTAGAAATAGATGTTAAATAATGTGGGAGCCAGAGGACATCCCTGTCGCACCCCAAGGTGTACAGGGAAAGGCTCCGACTCCCGGTCACGTAGTTTTACCTGGGCCCACTCACCATCATGAAGGTCCTTAATGAT